ACCAAGTCTTCATAGCTATGTTTTCTTTTCTACTTGAAAATAGAAGCGCTTCATTGTAGAGTACCAGACAGTTGATTCTGGTTTCTCAGCAGCTGTTGTTTGCTATGGAATGTGAGAATTTCATGGTCAAATGTAATTTACCTATCCACAGGACTTCAAAATTTGGGGACAACATCTGCTCTTTGCAGTACATTAACTTGCACACAAATATCTGCTATAAACCAAAAATACCTGAAGATTACCTTGGTTCTCCAAGTCTCCAGTAGAAATTTTGTTCCATTTAACATTCATATGCCATGTAATACTGGCATAGAATTCAGGAGAAATTAAATTTTGTAAACATTTGAACTAGCATAAATTGCTTCTTAAATACAAAAGATAAAAATTCATCCCAAAATCATCAAAATACAGCATTTGTCTAATTCAATATAATTTCCTTTTCAACATATGATACCACCGAAAACAGCAATTAATTTAAGAAATTGAAACTTACCTTGGTTCCTCGCTGCCTTACAATGATAGCACCAGGTTTGGCCAACTGGTCACCAAAGATCTTGACGCCGAGGCGTTGGCCTCTAGAATCGCGACCGTTTTTGGTACTTCCGCTTCCCGTCCTATGCGCCGATTCAATGGTCAACGGGAATGGCGACTTGTGCGGAAGCAGAACGCTAGTCGTTTATATATATAATGTTAGTATTTATTAGTCGAATTTAATAAAAAAGTTAATGAAAAAACATTGCAAAACTATATCATCATTATCATTCTGTTGCTTCTTTTTTTTTTCCCTTTTATTCTATAGTGTAACATATGGTGCATGATTTTGGAGAAATCATATAACAGATCATTAGTTTATATATATATATATATATATATATGTGTGTATATATATATAGCTAGCTGGATTGGGGTGGGGTCTGTCATCTGCCATGTCGTGGCCTCAAAAATTTAATTGTCACGTCATTTTTATTTTATAATGAACATTGAATTTTAGGGTGGTGTAATTTCTTTTTGTATATCTAAATGATTTATATAAAAAGGGATAATTATTATTTTTTTAATTTTTTTTCACCCAACTCAAAATTCAAATATAAAATTTTTAATTTAAAATTTTAAGTTTTTAACCATTCAACCACCTTATTGAAATTAAAAAATAAAGAATAGAGGGTGGTGTGATGATCCACTAAAAAGTAAAAATGACGTTAACTAAATTTTCGAGTGCCGGGCACTGCAGCCAAATTGCCATGTAGTTGCACTTAAAGCTAAATCGCCACTTAGCCACACATAAAAAATATAGTTAAATCTCCAAAAATTCAATTGCATTATTCAATAGCAACTACTATTTTTACAGATTTAACTATATTTTTTGTGTAGCTATATAAAAATTTAACTGTAGTGCCTGGGCAACTTAAAATTTAATTATTACATCATTTTTACTTTATTTTTGTGCGTAGCTGTATGGGATTTTGATTGTAATGTCTTGGCATCCTAAAATTTAATTGTGATATCATTTTGACTTTTGGTGCACCAAAAGTAAAAATGACATCACAATTAAATTTAAAAATTAATATATCATTTTAACACTAATTTTTAAATTTAATTGTGATGTCATTTTTACTTTTGGACACACAAAGTAAAATTGATATAATAATTAAATTTGGTTAAAACTTAAATTTAGTTCCTCTACTTTAGTAGAAAGTCTTTTTTTTAAAAAAAATTTTATTTAAACTTTTTTTTATCCCTAAAATTTGAAATTCAATTTTTTTTAGTCCCTGTTTACACCATAAATTGCAAAATTTTAAATTAATGCCACGTGTAAAATATTTTTTTTATTGGTTGGATGAGTTTGAGTCATGTCAGATTCGGATTCTGGGCCCCAGGACAGATCAGCACTTGTGTTAACAAAATAAGAGAGGTAAAGATAATTTTTTATGGAGTAATTATCTTCTTGATACAAAAAGGGATAATGGGAGCTGGAAAATAGGAGAAGATCACAGTTAAAAAGGGAGTTTTATCTGATAAGAGTACAGGTGACGAAATTTGAAAGGGGATTAGACTAGGTCAAAAGGTGAAGTGTCTCACTACTTTAAAAAACCACCCATGGTTGAGTAACTACAGAAAGTGGAAGTTACTGCCGGCACAAGAAGAACAAAAAGGAAATTTTGGAAAGGAGAACACACGGCCAGCCCTACTCAAACATTAGCAAATTTTCATACTTTTATTTTCTCTGCAGTCTGCTTCCAGATTTCGAATTTCAGCACAGATTCCATTAGAATTAGGGTGTTTTTCATCATTCCAGTAGGCAAATTAATTCATGTATTCAGTTCAACAATTTCCTTTCATGCAATGAACTTCAATCCTTCAAGTTTATGCAAGGTATTGTTCTCTTTTCATTTGTAATTAATTTAATGT